ATGCCCATCTCGTGTGACACACACCTCTGTTACCAGGGTACGTGTAACCCCGTTACATAAGCTCAGTATGGCGTTTCATGCAAAGTGATATAACATGAAATCCTAAGGGCGTAAATTCTGCCAATAACCCATCAATACTTTATTAGAAGCAAAGGTAGACTCCCTTGACTGTTTACTTATACCAAATTAGCGCAGAACATGAGCCTTAGCTTGCTACTGTCGATACAGCAAATTTTGCTATGCTTAACCACACCGAAGTATATGTGGACCAGCCTGATAACATCTTTATAGCTGCTGCAAGCACGACAGCTCATAACATTATCTTAACATCCTAAGAAGGGTGTACGAATAGTGTGCGGTTATGCTTTTTGCTCCCACTCTTTGAGAATTTGCAGCGCCTCCATGGTGTTATAATACCTCTTGCAAGTGCCGCTCGCTTTCGGTTGAGGGTATGAAGGGTCAAGATTCCAAAAAGAGTTATCCGACGATCACATCGCGGGAGAATCCAACTCAAGCTGGCGAGGAACAACTTTTTATAATTTATTGAACCATCTTGACCTCGTGTTGGGTACCCAGCAATTGCGTGAGCAAAAGCTCTGATAGAGGAGAAGGGCACAGCCCAAGTATGTCAATCATTGAAAACACGATCTGGGGCTTCGTGAATCCTTTGAGCACCTACAAAAAATTTGCAATCGTCATGCAGATTTATTACTGCTGGAAACAGTAGAGAATGTATGGCAGCATTGAGCGCAGATACCGTATTTGTGTGTTATGCAACGGGAACACTCGTCTGAGTGTCAAAAAACCTTCTTAAGAGTTGAATTCAGCGGTGTGTGGTACCATTTGACACTCAATCTGAGCTCAAGACACGACTTTATCCTACAATGGTTTGGCGGAGCTCTGTGAACCACCTATTGACCGGTTAGTAGTCAAGATCCGAAAGCATTAGGTGACGCGCACTTGTCTCCAAGTGAACATTCGATGAGGAACGATCCTATTTGAATTGTATCTGGTGTGGGCATGAAGCTGCAACAAGACTTGAGGAATTCGAGATAGTTTGCCATAATATGTTAGGATCTTTTAGCAAAGCTCAAAAGGCAAGGGTGTTATTATGCGGTCTCTAACGTTGAAGATTAGCTGTGTATTGTGGTTAGGAAAACCAAATGGTGATATTAATATACTGATGGTCCACCTTGTCGTGGCTCGACGGTAACGCTAAGCCAGCAGCACCAAATGGCGTGCTACCCATGTAAATTTATGAAGCCCAACGAGTAGTTTTATTAGAGTAACTGGGTACTTCTTGAAAATGCACACTTGAAGCTCTCGTAGCGCTCGAAAAGTTTCTTTCAGAGGTGTATACAAGGGATTGCAAGATGGTGATCACCGAGTTCATAGGTCAGTTTACCTAGTGAACCGATGATTATGTTTCGACGATGGCCCCGGGGTTTGAAAATTTCATTTTTTCTGTGATGGAATACATAGGATCAAAACAGATTGCGTTTGATGTAGAGTAACTGCTACTGCGTGATGATATTCCTTATACTCAATTTTAATCGGCTTTCATCTTCAAGTACTTGCTAACGATTGAGATATTCGTGATGGTGCGAATAATTGCTAAAAAAAAATATAAATTTGATGATGACCGACAAACGCTCATACAACCAAGCCGCCTCGGTCACTTCTTGATTTACATAAAGTTGAAAGTTTATAAAATTATACAATCTCGATATTCTCATGTCTTTTGACGGGTGTGCCCTTTTAGGTTTAGCACCGGAAGAGAAGCTGAGCTCATTATATCTCATGGGTATATCTATTATCAAGAACATAATTTGTGATTCCTGCAAACAGCTTATCGTTGTTGAAATAATATCTCGACGTGCTGACAAGAGGTGACGCCTGAGTATTAAGGCGTGATGTGACTGACCTGGCCAATAAAACGAAATATTGCGGTAACACGCCGACGACTCGAATAAAGAGATAAGTGTGACGTCACAGACGCTTTTTCTGCGCAAAGTACAAGACGAGTTTTGTGAATGAGAGCAAAATTCCTACTTTCCATTAACGTTTTGCGTCAGCGCGGCTAACAAGAAATGGTGAATTGTGCATGCTTAATCTTAGCTGAAATCGGCCACGATTTTGTCGCACTCGCGATTGCTTGAAAGTTTGTGCTGCAGAGCCGCATAATGGGATGATTTTATAAAAGTCTTTTTATGTAATTTAGTGCTTGTACGAGTAAGTGACATTCCCATACTGCATAATTAATCTGAACGGCATGCATTGTGGTCACCCCAGGGGCTGTCTTAAATACTAGCGACGTACAACAGCCTGGTGACGTTCACCGAGGGATAAATTGAAGAAACGTATACTCTTAATAGCATATCACAACAACCAAACGCCACTGCAATAAAAATACGATTTAATTACTGAGCTATTTTATGCGCAAAAGACTCTCTGCCAGCCACACTATCGGAATCTGAAATATTGACTTACCCAGACCTAGGTCATGCCAATGACTTCAGCCAAATTGTGTCGCTTTACTGTTTGCCTGTAAGTATTGGAATGGGAGGGGCGATTTTAAACGGGCTGACTGGTTGTGGCACCAAAGCTATCAATAGAATTAGTTTAGATACTTATTGCCAGAAACACTATTTGCCGGACATCAATGAAGAAAAAAATCAGTATACATGAAGGCAGTCGGAAGCCAGATCCCCGTAAACCTCTAAGGATGCGTCGAGTCACAATGTCGTTTTGAAGCGATTCATATTAACTTTCGCTATGAAGTTTAAAAAAACGTTAGGACTTTTCAGATCAGGCGCGTGCCTTTTCTGGACCGTGCATCTTTACAATTTACGCGTAACGTGCGTGTAGAATTCAGCTATAGCTTCTTGTATGTATTTCGCATTCTCTTTAACTCGTTATCGCGCGCAAGCACCCATCTATCAGGTGAAGAGCCAAACGGATGACGACGCTGCATCAGAGGCGGCTCTCGTTCCACATCTCACCCACGGAAAGCTCGCATAGCTACGGAAGCTGAATGCTGTACCAGCCTTTACGAGATTTGTGGGGCTGATGAAAGTGCACGTGACCAAGGTCGACAGCTTTGGGTGCTCGCTGGATATGCAACAGCATGGTGTGACGATTGAGCTCACTAGACGAGGCCGGACTTGGCCATACCGTAACCATCAAATAAAAAAGTAAGTAGGTGGTTTGGGGTGCATCGCATGCAAATTCATGGGCTCGATTTAACTAGCTTTGGTATGGGCGCGTGTACGCCAGGTATACATAATTGACATGGTAGTGATCATCAAGCACGAGGTGCACCATTTATGGCGCAATGAGCAGCGCCATCACCTTGCATCTTAAATGAGTAAGTGCCGCTGGCAAAAGACGCGAACATCTACATGCGTAATTTTGACAGCAGCAAACTTTACAAAGGAGTTCGAAAAACGGTTTTAAGCAGCAAAAGCTGTTCTTAATCGGACAAATCTTGATGGCGGAACCGGTATGTGGTCGAATCGCTACCCGAAGAAGTTTGAGCAGGATCCACGTTATAAAACAGAATTCTTTCACTCACCATGACGGATTGGTGTGCCGCGCAGCCGACGTTCTGGTTCGTGATGGGTCAGATGCACTTGTCATCCAAGTTGACGCTCTCGACGCAACATGGATAAGTTGTTTGGGGTTAAGAGAGACGCGTACGATCGTGAAGTGAGCATTTTCAGGACTTGAATACCATCGTGGTGAGAACCAACGTGCCCCCACGCTGCTTTTAGAGATCACCGTCAGGTACGCGTCTCCAGACAAATGTACCAAGCGTGACATTACGCGATCAGATCCGCTTCAACACACTTACGGCCTACCTGTGACGGAGCGCATTATGTATGATGCTGACCGAGCAATGAATCATATCAGAAAGGGTGCTATCAGTGCAGTGTCCAAAACGCAAAAAGAAACACAGTGATGCCCCAGCTGCAATCAGGCTAGACACATAAAATAATCTTGAGGCGCCCCACTAAATACAACAAGCTCAATGTCGCAAATTTCGCGCATGCTGCTGGAAGCTACAGCTGGATCCGCTGGACAGTGGTACCCCGCGTTAGCTGCTGACTAATGTAGTGGGGTGTTCTGTCGAGGAGTTTTGTGCGATATCGAATGGTTGGACGACGGTGCTGCCAAGAAAGTTCGGTGATACGGCAAGCGATTGCTAATGAAGTTACGCACCAAAGCAGAGCTCGGTGATTCGACTACGCACCAAAACTAAAACATGATCTCACACTAACGGCTGATTGCAAAGATGTGCTTCCTCACTAGGTGCAGCATCAAGTTGGCGCGGATAAAGCGCGATAACGTAATGATCTTCACTGATCTGAAGCACGACATGCTCGTTGTGAATCTTCCGCGAACAGTGCGAAGATGAAATAGTATATTATTATTATGGGAAATACGGACACAGTTTTGCCGCCGATCATCGTCACGGGTACTTGAATGGATTCCATGGATGATTTAGTCATTTAGCGCATGATAATGGACCCCGTATCCGGCGTCAGAATCTCGTATCGAGAGCAAAAACTGTGCCTGCTTTAAACAGCCAATAAGGACACCAAAGAGCACCAATTGATCAGATTAAAAAGTCATTTGTAGCGACCCGGAGAGCTTGACGACGGCGCATGATCATCAAGATAACCGTTACATGAGTAACGTTGTGGACCTACTGCTTGATGAACATAGCTAAAATGAACGAACTCGCTGAGAAGAAGTTTGAGGGTGTTTAAGAAACGGATCGACTGCCGAGAACATTTTTCCCGCATTAACGGCAGCGAAGGGATCGGAACGTATGTGCAGAACATACGCGCACGGGAGGAGAAACCATACACAGAGACACTTGCTAATCGAACACCAAAGCATCTATGGTATCCAGCAGGTCTTGTCGGCCGCGCCGCATGTTACGCCACCTTGCTGAAGCCAATGGAGAAATTGGAATCGGCGTTTCGAAGATTTCCAATATACCACCTTTAGCTTTGATTGTTTTCGAAGCTAGTGTCGTCAAACTGCAGCCAGATGACCTGAATCTGAAATTTACGCAATCGCATAAGCGCATTGCGGGTGGCCCAGAAATGAAAAAACCGCTGCCCTGCAAGCCAACAATTTAGGGCATTTTGTCAAGAGCATGTTTGATTAAGTTCGATTACGTACCCATTGGGATGTACGATAAATGCAAGCGAACATAATAAAATGAGCGGTACAAAGCTGTACTGGATGACTTCGACAACGACTTGATGGTCAGCGTTAACTTCATCGACGGTATAACATCCATATGGGGGTTCCTGCCAGACATAATGATATATGCAAAGGTAAAAAGGGGGAGGAATGATTACAATTGTTGAAACTACGTCGGTTCTGCGGTTCGTCCCGACAGACTCGTCATTACAGAAGAAGAGCTTAAAGCTCTCGTAGCTGGGAGCGCGGATGCAGTTGGACTGCTTCTGGGATAGAGCCTACACGGACTCAAACAAGCAGGGCACCTCTCTTACATCGTGTAATGGTCAAGCTGGGGTCCAGCTAGTGTATTAATGAAATGTGCTTGTGTTTCAGGCAGCCAAAGATGACTTGACGATCGCCAGGACATACGTAGATGACCTACTAGTCACTGGTGCTGACGACATCAAAATATTTCAGCAGTTCTTTATATGACATGGCTGTGCTGGAGCTTCGAACTCTCGGCATTGCCATCATACGCAAGCAATGAAGGAGACAGAAAAAGGAGACCGGTTGTGACTTGTTATCAGTGACTTGTTAGGATTTTGCTGTTTATCGCGATACACAAGCGCCCGGATACCATGTTCGCCGCACATTGTACAACACGTCGTGCAAATTCATTAACGATGACCGACTGAAAACCTGCTTAGCATACAGCTCTGTAGCTCAAAAGCATCCGATCGCACAAGCTCAGCATTTTAGGTGACAACAATGCCAAATAACCGCCGCTGCGGCTGCGCTTACACAGCGACGCCGAATTTTCGGCGGGCAAGGACGACAAGAAGCCTGTGAGCGTGCTGGTCGTTCAAGTAAACGGTATGATGGCATCATGGCAGTGAAATAAGCAGAATTCTCTGGAAATAGTAACAATTGTGGCAGAAATGACGCTACAACTGTAGGCGCTTTAGAGTAACTCGGGGTGAAAGAGCTTTTGGGTGTCACCAAATTGCCTACAAACATACTAGTGAAAAACAGTAACGGAGTTATACGTACCCTGGTTAATAGGGGTGAGGCACGCAGGATAAAGTGACCACACGATGGCGTGGCTACATCTTAACAAGAAGTCGGGACTGCCAGTACTTATAAATTCTGATCAGATTATATTATTTGATTCAGAGCTATTTAGATAAAGACGGCTCTGCCGCAAATGAGAACATTTTGGATTTTAAATGGAAGAGTGTTTTGCCATGTGTTAAGGTTTTGGGCACTTTTGGAGGCAGCGGATTGCGATCCGCTACACTCATGCTGGCTTTAAAACAGAATGTAACGTTGGTGACCTAAACTTAGCTTTATCTAAACAAAGAGCTACGGCAGCCCCGCTGCACATGGTAGAACTTGTAGTCAATCTACACATCAGTCGTTTTGACTGATCCTCTGTGTGGATGTAGCAAATCTCCTATTTGCCCCAGGGGGTGCAGGACGGGATTAAAAGCTGATGCCCCTGCTTGATCCAGAGGGTGTGCAACACCTTGCTTCGCAAGGACCTGGAGTGATAAGCGCGCGCGCCTAGAGGCCTTTTCGAGCTATAAGAATGCTCTGCAAGAGCACCTACAGCAGAAGATGTCGGCTTCGACTGCGCCCATGACGCAACTGTCGACGATGGATAAGTCCCCCCGACCCAAGCCGCTCGTGGTGAGTGTTAGGACCTTCGTGGGTAAAAGCTGGAGTGTAATTCCTGCTCTGGATGATAGAGGCCAAGCATTCGCCATGCTCTAGAATTAGAAAAGTGCGTGGCACTAGCTATCTCCGAGCTCGGCGGTCGAGCGCGGAAATGACGTGGGTACTTCGGTTGAAGCAGCGATTTCCTCCTGGAGCTGCAGCTGCTACGTGTGTTCTCGCCGGCCTAGCCAGTCATGTCGCGTGCAATTGCGTTTCCTTGCGGCCCGACAGGGCAAGAAGCAATCGGTGGACTTTGTCCAAGGGTCGCGTACTATCATTGCCGGGATGGCAGCTGATCCTTCTTCCGAGGCGGTTACAGTGACCGTCTTTATGGAAAGTCTTCGCACTGGCGCGACCAGAGTGGAAGACTTCCGTGTGCATCTGTCTTCTTTTGAAGAAAGGGTAAATAGGGTATTGAATGCCGAATTCAACTTCAAGTCGGCACGACTTGGCTGAAATGCAAACCCCAGAGCTTGTCAAGCGGGCCTGAGCCAATGGATCTCAGCTATGATGAGATAGTGGGGGAAGAGCTTCGAGCTGCTGGGCAGCGTTTAAACACCCGACGGTGTTCTGTCTGCTGAGAAATCCGTCACATTCGGACTGGCTGACCCCTGCGCAAGCCGCATCAAAGTTCATCAAACGACATCTCGCTACTTACCAATCTCTTGATTTGTCGCAGGGAAACAACAAATCCCAGTAGGCGCGGGGGCGCCCTACTTGAGTAGAACAGAATTCTGTTGGGCCTTAAAGAAGTAGATGACAGCAAGGCCCAGCCCTGAAGAGCTCCGTGCTCTTGAACTCGGAGCGTGTATACAAGCCGGGCTTGCTGGTCGCAAATGTGACCGTGAAGGGCTTTGAAAAGCCATGGAAGACCCTGGTTGACTCCGGGGCGTCAGGCAATTATGATCGCGGTCCACGATGGAAGGCGCTTAAAGCGCGGTTGATTGACATTGTCACTCTTTACTTAGCGACCGGAATATGTGTCACTGTGCCAAAGGTCCCTGTGGACCTTGGTGTCAAGTTTCTTGACTTTGATAGCGTGGAACGCTACTTAGACGTAGACTTATATTCAAGGTATGATCTCATCCTTAGTATGGCATGGCTGGAACACCATGACTCATGGATCGACTGGGGGTCGAAGACGTTGAGCGCTACACGCACGTCTCCTGGTGGAGCTTTGGTGAGTCATGAACCCACGTCTGCTAGAGCGCAAAAACGCTATTGGCGCGGGCACTGGACCGAGGCGGTGAACGTGCTGGAGATCGGAGTGTCCGAGTTGCAAAACACCAAAGGTGCATTGGACAGGAGTCCCGAGCGTGGCTTGCGGGCTGAACGTGGAGTGGCATGTAACCCGCTGAGTATTGCTCAAGTTTCAAAGCCGTCATTGCATGCCACGAGTGGCATGGTCAGCAAAGGGCCGAGGCAGCTTGGGTAAGGCTCTTCAGATGTGCGTGGGGTGGCACTGTCTCCACTGGACGAAGACTGCGGAGCTAGCAGCTCTTCGTCGGATGTTGTTCATAACATCAGGGCTCCGATAGAGCAGGAAGCTGCGCTAATACTGCACGTCACTGAGTGCGAGTTCCCACTTATCTCGCCGATGACGTACAACCTATGCGGAGAGGCGACAGCGATGCTGTATGCTAATAAATTCAAGACGTCGCCTCCAGAGAACGGCCGTTTGTCCTACCTCCGGATCGAGGTGTGCGTTATGAGATCGACTTATTTCCGAGAACCAAATACTTCGCAACACGCCAATGGATCTTGCCCACGGAGCAATGTGGCGTCATTGACGCCTTTTTCCATGTGAAGCACGACGCAGGAATGGTGCCTGAAAGCAAGACTCCCCATTCGACACCCACGTTTTGTATCTGGAAGCCGAACGGCAAGTGGCGTATCGTTCACGCTTTTTGTCGACATCTTCGTCCATAGGCATGCAAGGCACAGCAGGACGGATGAAGAGAAACGCATTGTGAGAGCGGTTCTCGAGTACATGCGCACGGGTAAGCTGTATACTAATGCAGACAAGTACATCTTCGGCGCTGAAGAAATCGCCTTTTTAGATTGCTTCTTAAAGAAGAATGGCCTTCAAGCGGATCCTGATAAGGTCAAGGCCATTGTGGACTGGCCTAGTTCAAAGATTCGAAAGAACTTGCGCAAGTGGCTTAGCATCGAAAATTCTTGCACAAGTATAGCGAGAATTATGCGGAATTGACACAGCTTTTCTCGAATCTTCATAAAATAATGCGGAATGGTGTTGAGACACCGAGCATCGGGAGGCTTTTGACAGGGTCCAAGACAGCCTCCTTCATGCACCAATACTGGCGTTGCCAGAACTCAATCGTCCTTTTAGTGTCGTCTGTGACGCTTCGGACTTAGCCATCGGCTACAAGCAGACGCCGGGGGGTGATCGCGTTCGAATCTCGCCAGCTTAAGGCTGCGAGAGGAACTACCCAGTCCACGACAAAGAGTTACTTGCGATGAAATATGCGCTTGTCAAGTTCAGGGTGCAACTGCTCGGCTCAAAACTGTTTGTGATCTACACAGATCATGTGTCACTACGCACTGCGACTCAGTCACATCACCTCTCGCAGAGGATGCCTAGGTGGCTCTCCTTCTTCGCAGAAAATAACTACGGGGTGAAGTATAAGAAATGCTTTGGTTGATGCGTTGTCACGCAAACCGAATTATGATCTTGCTCATGTCACGACGGTGACGTCGTCAGTGACGGATTTGACCCGAGTTGCTTACGCGGGTGATGATATGTGCGAAGCGCTGCTACAGGCTCTCGGGAGCATGGAGTTTGGAGACTCGGACAAGAAACTGTCGTCGCAATTGCGCACAGGATTACACCGATATTTGTTTAATAACGGTTTGCTGTATTATAGCACCGATTCAATGTATACGCCACGAAGTGTGGTTCCTCGCCATTAGGATTTAAAAGACCGTAACCTCTTTGAGACCCGCGACACCCCGCTCAGTGGTACCCTCCGGGTGTTGGAGTCCAAGAGTACTGACTATGTATTTTGCCTATCGAAAGACTCGGCGGGCAACACGGGTGTGGTGGTCTTTGTCGACCGTTTGAGCAAGATGGCTTATTTCGCGGCGGTGCCGGGAATCGACGGTGTATATACATCGACGCTGCTTGTGAAATGTGTCTTTTGACAACAGGGACTCCCGGGGTCAATTGCCGCTGACATAGACCTACGCTTCGCTGGGAGTTTTGGTCGACAATTTTCAGGGTGCTGGGCACCAAGTTGACCATGATAACAGCGGACCATCCGCAGAGTGATGGTAAAACTGAGCGCGTGAATCGCTTCGTTGAAGCGTCTGCGCTGAGACGCCGAAGCGCTGGAACGCCATGCTGCCACTTGTGGATTTCGCTCTGAAATATTAAGTGCAAGCGTCTATCGGCTCCACGCCGTTCTTCGTGAACGAATTGTTAATTCTCGCGACCCGCTGGCGCCGCCATCCTATGGATAGGGCTTGATAGGGGAAGAATAGCCGAGCGGCTAGCTGATGTCAGCTCTCTTACTCTTCGAAATGAAATCAATGACTTCCTGTCTTCCAGGCTGAGTGTTTCACGACACGTTCGCGATGAGATGGATAAAATCCAAACATGCAAAAGAAATATGTAGACGAGAGAGGTTGAGAAAATGTTTAAAACTTTGAGGTCGGGGACCTAGTCTTATTAAATGATAAAAATCATCCTACGCTGTCTTTAAGACAAAGCCCCGTCCACTGTTTACTGACCCTTTCAAGGTTGTCGCCAAGAGAGTCCTTGCGCATACTCTGAACCTTCCAAAAAGGATGCGCTCCCACCCGGTGTTTTATGTGGGCTTGCTTAAGCCGTACCGGGATCCGTCGCAAGTGAACGCGGAAGCGTTAGCGCCGGGGCGGCGCCCAAAGACACCCGGCCACCCAGAAGCTGAACCAGCAACTGGTTCTGAGCACGGAGTGCAACAATTCCGTTTACAACGACGCAATGCGCATCACTGTCGCACAAAGTGACGTATTCGTTGGCTCGACAGCTAAGAGCCGGTCCGACAGAGCGTGATAATCCTCAACTTAAGGCAGTCGGCGCACAAAGTGCTCCAGACTCTCGAGGTCTTCCGAACCGCTCGGAAAGTTGCTCGGCAGAGTATTGATTACGACGAGCTTTGTCCTTCAAAGCTCGAAGGGCATCGCGAGTCACCGGACGGCAATAGACCAAGTCGTCATTGCCCACCGCCGACTCTTCTCGATGAGAATGGTGGCGTCCACTATCACGTGGAAAGCCTTGTGGGTCGACGTCTTCGACAGGGTCTAGCCCAATATCTTGTGAAGTGGCTGGGATACGCAAACTCCGAGAGGTACCACTTCGGCAAGACTGCCCAGAGATGTAGACGCTTATGATTAGAAGGATCATTACGCTCCGCGCGGTCGTACGTTCCGCACTTCTTGGCAATAGCCGAGAAAGCCGACGGGCCATGAGCTAAGCTCAAGCTATGACCCTGAGCTGCTGTGCTCGTAAAATCACCCATGTGAGAGACCATCGAGCTCGCGGCATACGTCAAAGGTCGACAATACGAAAGAAGACAGCGTTGCGCCTTGAATTTGGCAAACTAGAATCGAAGAAGGCATTCTGCGCGCACGTCTACCTCCTTGTTGCTCCGCTGTAAGTTGTTGCCCCACTGTAAGTTAGACAGCGAGGAAGGTTAGTGTCACTGCACAAACGTTTGATGAGCCATTCATCATCTACAGGGATTCGCCATGGGCGAGTACCACAGGATTCGTCCGCATTGCGGGTACAGGAGCGCCTCCTTTTTGAGCTCGAATTCGAGCGCAGTATCCGACTCGTAGTCAACTTTCTCCGAATCCTCGACGAGGAATACGTCACCCGGTTACCGAGGGCTTGCGTTGTGCATCCCATGAAGCCGCGGATATCCTGTCCGGCGTGACTCTACCCGCGGGCGCTCTCGGAAGCAGCGAGGCTGAATGTTTTTCGTGTCATAGACACAGGGATCATTGAGCATCCTGGTATACAGGGGTGGGTCACACAGTATGGTGTGACCACACAACGGTGTAAAGAAGCCGGGACTGCCAGTAGTTATGCACTTTAATCAGGTTTTACTGCTTTATCAGGAAATCTATAGATTGAAATACAGGCGGCCCTGTTGCAAATAAAACAAAAGATAAATAGTTTGGAATTTAAGTGGAAGATTTAACTTGCCTTAGTTCAAGGTTTTGGATACTATTGGAGCTGGCGGATTGCGGTCCTCTACACTCAAAATGGTTCTAGTATAGAGCGTGCCAGCGGTGACCGTAGCTTAGCTTTCTTTAAGCAGAGAGCTACGGCAGCCCCGCTGCAGCAACCAAGCAGCAATTGTGCATGTGTAGATTAAAATCATATCTCGACCAAGGCAAAGTATGTGGACGTCTGGCTCAGCTTCATCCAAGTCTAAGCCAAGATGTGTGAGTGCTGCCAGAGTATGCCGCTACCAGCGAATCGTTTTTGCGGACCTGCTGGCAAAATCGCTGCCAGCGCCACAAATAGAGAAGTTCAGGAAGATATCGGGCTCATCGTCCTAAGTGTATCAAGAGCCTCGATGCTATAGAACCGAGTATTGGACATAGATGAAAACGCTAGCATACGTACAGGCTACCAGGAGTCAGATTTCCTGGGACCTTTACATTCGTCAGTCGACAATGTTAAGGGTATGATTCTGACTATGTTTTGCTATCGAGATCAATCTGATGAAGGGCTCATCAGATTAGGCGTAGGCGCGTACCTTTGTGGGACCATTTGTCCTTACGATTAATGCGTGATGTGCGTGTAGAATTTTGCTAATGCTCCTTGAACATGTGCCTGGCCAACACAATTAACTCCAAGAACATTAAGCTCTTACTGCAACTTCGTCGGTTAATTCTTAGCTGAGCTGATACCTAGCATAAAAGTTGAATAGCTAGCCCACTTCTCAGTCCAGTTACATTAGAGCTTTGTCCTCTTGATTAACATACGTAACAACCAACTAAATCTGAATTATCGAAAAGTGTGGTACACATATCTTCCACCTTGCTGATACTGAACGCTTGTGTTTTTCGTCGCCTGCCAATTCAATCTATTTCCAAACAATCGCCCGAAAGTCAAGAAGCGTCGGTATGAATCCGTCGTATCCGAGCTCATCGGGGGATCGCCACGGGCAGTCGCTCAATTCGGCTGCAAATTCTGGAATGGGCGGTAAAGGTGGACCATCGTCACAACCGACGCACAGCTACCATCCGCAGCCGTCACTTGCGCAACTTAGTCACTTACATCCGCTGCATGGCGGCTCTCAGCAATCTCAACAGCAGCAACAACACAATATGATGCATTCTGGTGGTTCTGTATTGCCTCCCCCACCTATGCCGGGATCAATGAGTGGAGGCGGTCTCAATTCAACGCGATCGCCGCACCCGCTTTCAGGCTCTATTCTGCACCCACCGCGCGGCAACATGGGCGGGTCTTCCAATGCAGGTGGCCCGCCTTCCGTGCTGGGCAAACCCACGGGCAACCAAAACCCACATTCAAATAATACGGGAATCATGGGCCATTCGGTCCGGATGCAGGCACCGAATATGAGTCAGAGTATGGCCAATGTGCAGCAGTCTATAGCTTCGTCTTCAGGTGGTCTAAAACCGCCTTCTCAGAGCTACAATGTACGTCCGCAATCGCCTCCTCGTCGTTCCCAAGAGACGCAACAACAACAAGCACAACAGCAGCAACAGGTGCCAATTCAACAGCACTATGGGCTGGACGGACGTATGATTCCAAATGATCAAGTGGACGATAGCTACTATCAACAGCAAACGATGAACGTTCCACCACCACGTCATCGTGAACTTCGGGTTGAAGACGCACTGCTGTATCTGGACCAAGTGAAGCAGCAGTTTGGCGACCAACCAGATATCTATAATCAGTTTCTAGACGTCATGAAGGACTTCAAAGCACAAGCCATTGATACACCAGGTGTGATCCTGCGCGTGTCGACACTCTTTCGTGGATATCCAAACTTGATTTTAGGCTTCAATACGTTTTTACCACCTGGTTATCGCATACGACCAGACACTTCCATTGAAGTGATTCCATCGCAAATGACGGGTCGTGGAGGCGTTCAGCAGTCAATGTACCCAGGAGGACCACAACAGGCAAATAGCACTCCCTTGGGCCACCGTCCACCACCTGTAACAATTCCTCCTCCTCCATACTCACCACCAGATCTTCATAAGTCTACGCCGTCGCGGCAGCAATTGGCCCCTTCTGGTCAGTTAAAGCCAGGAGCAAAGACGAAGAAGCAGCAACAAGTTCCTGCTCCAGGTGGCACCAATGCAGTAGTTCGAAACTCAACGAATCCGGTAGAATTTGACCATGCTATTCATTACGTAACGACCATTAAACAGCGCTTTGCCGATGAACCCGAGACCTACAAGGAATTTCTTGCTATTTTGCACACATATCAGAAGGAACAACGATCGATCCGTCAAGTTTTGGATCAAGTTTCGCACCTATTTCGCGATCATCCGGATTTACTGCGGGAATTTACGTTTTTCTTACCTGATGCAGTACAGGAGCAAGCTAAAGAGCGTCTAAATCGTGCTGCTGAAAAAGCACAGCAAAGAAAGGACCAAATGGCTTTAAAAGCGCGAAAATATGGCTCTTCCTCACAAGGTTATCAACCAGAGCGACTTGATGACCATGGCGCTGACTCACCGTCTAGTGCTGCCATGAAAGGTGGACGTACGCTGTCCAACGATGAAGATGCGTACGTGAAATATGGTAAAAAGGGACGAGGTTTTAAGGATGAGGATGGTCGATTAAGTGGGAAAGCACTTGAACGTCGTGAGAAGGAGCGCGAGCGCGAACGCAATCGCTCACAGTTTAATCACAAGCGGACAAAACGCCGTCCGTACGATGGAAAAGAACGCCGTGCATATTTGGCGATCTCCGATGTGCTTTTGGACAAAGAAGAGTGGTATATTTTTGAAAAGATTAAAAAAGTATTACCGTCGCGTGACAATTGGCGCGAATTTCTGAAGTGTTTGGAGCTGTACAGTCAAGAAGTCTTGGACCGCCATGAAATGCTGTCACTTATCAGGAACCTTTTTGGCCGGCACACTGACTTAGTGGAAGAATTTGACCACCTCTTGTGCTCACATGGTGTACAGAAGACATCGAAAGAAATTTGGCCTTTCATTCCTCTAGCAGAAACGGATTTATCTCAGTGTCGACGCGCTACGCCGTCGTACCGTGGATTACCCGCCAGTTATCCGATTCCGCCTTGCTCGCATCGCTCTGCGCTTGAAAAAGAAGTGTGCAATGATACGTGGGTTTCTGTGCCGACAGGAAGTGAAGATTTCTCGTTTAAGAGCATGCGGAAAAATCAGTATGAGGAAGCGCTTTTCAAATGTGAAGACGAACGATTTGAGATTGATATGGTGATTGAGGCTAATGCGTCTACAATAAGCATTCTCGAGCCACTGGCACAAGAAATTGAAGCTTTAAAGTCGAGTAACGGATCTAATAACGCCGACGATAAGTTATGGAACTATGTTGTGGAAAAAGGCACGTTTCGTGTTACACACTTAAATGCCATTACTCGTATCTATGGCGAAGCAGGGTCGCAGATCTTAGAACTGCTCCGAAAGTTTCCTGCTGGCGCGATTCCGATTATTTTGAAGCGTTTGAAGCAGAAGGACGAAGAGTGGCGCCGGGCTCGTGAAGATCTAAATCGCCAGTGGAAAGAGGTCAATGAAAAGAACTATCACAAATCGCTGGACCACACGAGTTTTTATTTCAAGCAAAAAGATAAGAAGCAAACAGGAATGAAGATGATGATGCAAGAGGCTAAGAAAAAACTGGAGGCGGTCGAAAAATGTGCTGAAACAGCCAAGACTGACTCAAACGCTTCTCCATCTACTGTTTCAGCAACTTCAACTATTGTTGATTCTAAAGCTCCACCCCAAGCTGCAGACATCGCAAATGCGCTCAAGAAAGAACAAAATTTGGGCTTTGCAAAGCCACCTGTCAGCGCCGACAGCAAAGACGGGTCAACAGCGTCGCAGCCCACGCTTTTAACACAGTGGAAGCCTCATTTCGTGTACAGTTTTGCATCAGTTCAAATACACAAGGAGGCGTACGGGTTACTGTCGTATGCTATTGATAAAAGTCTGGGTGTGACCGACAAAGACAAGATTTCAAAAGTTTGGCAGGCTTTCTTTTTTCCATTTTTCCATTTAAAGGAGGAGTGGCTAGTGCGAAAGCCGCAACATTCAATATTGACTTACGAAAAGACTAAGACTTTGCGTGTTGGCACAGAAGTGAATACAGAGTTCGGCGAGGGCACTATGCAGCATTTTCACCAAGAAAAGGGGTATTTGACGATCAATATGACTGCTAGTGGATGTCAGGCATACTTGCAACCAAGTGCTGTTACCGTTCAGGAAGCTGTAGATTTTCCACCCGGGCTTCCTGAGCTCGATAGCATGCAAGATGCGGCCAAAGTGCTTACAGACCGCAAGTCACTTTTCTTCGGAAACCAGCACGCGTACGCTTTCGTACGGCTGTACCAAATTCTCCACAATCGACTCGAGCGTGCGTACGACCTGTGTGAGAAAGCGAAGCGCAATCGCAACCGTCGTACAATTAATCCAGCGGCTCGCGCATTAGCCCATGCCCATCACTCGCTCACTGCATCTAAGGAAAAGGCTGGTGACTATCAAGCATTTGTTTCTAAGTTGTTTTCGCTAATTGATGGCTCCGTGGACAACACTAAGTACGAGGATTCCTGCCGTAGCTTGATGGGCTCTACGTCCTATTTTCTGTTTACAATGGATAAACTGGTGGCGCAAGTGCTTAAGCAGATGCAACACCTGGCGAACGATGACGTTTGTCAAGAATTAATAAAGGCATTTGTTGAGATACAAAGCGAGCAAAAGTCTATATCGGATCCGGCAGATGCTGAAGCTAAAGCTATTGCGTATCTCAACAAAACAAAGACAATTTTCGAAGGTGAAGGTGCATTTCGGATTGAATTCAAGCCTGGTGTTCTGCGCAAGACGCCCTTAGAAACGCGCGGTGGTGCCACACCATCAGGCGCGTCCGAGCCCTTTAAGATTTGGGCGCCATCCCCTCGTGTAAAGGCTCCGGAATACAGCAAGTGGCTTATTGAGCCGGAGTTAGCTATCGAGTATCTGGGCTCTATGGATGAAGATGGCGACGAGGACGACGAGGATGAAGATTCTCCCAGTGCGACACCAGTGGACACGCCGTCAGCAACACCCATCTATGGTTCTCCTGCACACGATTCACAGGACGAGGAAGATGATTTTATGGAAGCGTCGAAGGAAAAGTGTATTAGAAAGCAAGCAACATTGCCGACAGCATCATCTGTAAGTGTCGAGCAAAGCGATAGCGTTTCATCTGATGACGCAAGCAGTGTTGCGTTTGAGTCGGCGACGCTACTGAAGAAGCGTGGCCGTGACTCGCCTGAAGAAGGCAGAGCGATGGTAGAGCTATCATTGTCGACTTTAGTGGCAGCGGATACGGTGGTTGCGGCGAAAAAAGTGAAACTTACAGCTGATGGCAAGCGTACAGTCGCCCTGCATGAAAAATGCAATCTGACTGAAGCAAATAATGAGAATGCTTTAATGCTCAATGCTGAAGAAGATATGTTGACACGTGAAGTCGAGAAGTCTCCGGAGTTTTGTGAGCGAATTGCCGACAAAGTTAAGGATGATGAAGCATCCTTGCTAGACACGGTAAAGTTGGAGCGATCAAGTGACAGAGATTCGCTTATAGCTCCAATATGTGACGTGAAAGAGGAGTAATGAGATCAAGTAAAGACTGGTGAGAATTTTTATTGTTTGCTATGTCGCATGTCATTTTCTCCCTTGAATGATATCGTCATCTCAGCGTAGGGGTAGTGACTGAAATATCACAAGCTTATTCAGGTGATCTTAAAGCTAGTGCTGGTGGTGTAGAGCACTAACAAGCCAATTTATTTCTTACGGAAGCATCCAAACTGGTTGATGGTTGACAATTGTATGGAAAGCGTTAGATTGCAAGCACTTACACAAGATGATTATATTCTACGATCAGATTGACATAGACGACATGAGCTCACGCAGAATCCCTCAAAC